CCCTGAACATTCTCCCTTCTGGGTTCTCACAACCCCTAAGCTTTTCATTTTACATCCCGTTTTATGTAGATCTGTCTTTGTCTGAAAACATTTGTGGGGGCCGGGCGGTGGTGGCGCACGTCTTTAATCCCAGCACTCGGGAGGCAGAGGCAGGCGGATCTCTGTGAGTTCGAGACCAGCCTGGTCTACAGAGCTAGTTCCAGGACAGGCTCCAAAGCCACAGGGAAACCCTGTCTCGAAAAAACAAAAAACAACAACAAAAAATTTGTGGGGTTTTATGCCATTAAACTCTGAAACCACAATCCCTGAGTTCAAATCCAGACTGGACCTCTTGCTAGCTGTATAATCTTGGAGATTCACAGATATCTGAAAACATTGTTTCCATGGGACTGAAAACATTGAAGGACCTGATGCTGCAGTGTTGAGAACACTGGCATAGCCAGAGGCATGTCTCCTAGGTGACTCTAAGTCATTTCACGTTGACAACAATCATTAATCATTCATTGTACATCATGTCAATTGTCGCTGATACATTCCCTTATGGAACTCTTTGCTTTGGGGAGACTCAAAGCAATATTTGTGCCTGGTGTACAGTAAGGTTTTAGATCGATTCAGACTAAACTTTAAGCACTCATAGCCCTGAGACTACGTACTTACGAACCTTCAGTCCCAGGAGGATGTCAGACATAGAGCAGTCACTCAACAAATATCTATAGACTAAGTAAGTATGTTTAGTGCAATATCTGCCCATAAAAGAAATTATAGGAACTGCTGGACAGACCCATGAGATAAGAAGAAAATTTCCCAGGTATAGGAATGGTGTTGCAGAATAAAATATATCACATTCCTCTGTTATTTCTGGCAAGTCCCTATTCCTCTGAGCATTTTGTCTTAACTGAGTATTAGTGAAATTCGAGGTGGAAAGGAGCAGTAATCGTTGGGGCATGTATGTACTGGGGCCCTGTCACATGACTGCACCTGTATAGAGCACCGTGTGGACCAGCTGGCACCATCACCAAGGTCTCACCAAGATTCACAGGTCAGTCTGATAAATTCGGAAGTTGTGTGAGTGTATGTGTGTGTGTGTGTGGGGGGGGGGGTTCTGGCATGGTCTAGGTTCCTCTAAGAAACTGTAGAAACATGGGCTCTTGTGCCTTTTTGTCCCATTACCAGTCTTCCCGTAGTCATAGTTGTCACTACATGGCTGTTATGTGATGTGTGAACCTTTAGAAACTACACTTGTGTTTAGAGCCACACAAGGGAACAAAGGGGACTCTAAAGGACAACAGCCCTTTCCTTAGAAAAGCGTGAACCTTTGCAGAGGACCCCAACAGCCTTCACTTTATACCCTATTGACCAGACCACATTTCATTGTCAAAACTATATTGAGTCCACACAGACGTGTTTCCTAGCACACAGTACAGTCTACATCACAAATGAATTTCAAAAAGACAACAAATAACTTTTAACTGAGGGTAACCCATATAATAATTGTCATCTGAGGTTCACGTTTACCTGGGTATCCTGATTTTTTATATAACATATTCATCCTACCCTCCTAAATACTCTCAGGTCCTCCCCACCTCCCTTTATACCCAACTTTATATTTTCTCAAAACAACAGCAAAACACCCCAAAGACAAAAACCCCAAAGCAAAACAACAGCAACAAGCATGTATAACAGAACATGAAGTCTGTTTTGGTGTTGGGCAGCTACTCCTGAGTAGTGTGGTTGATTTACCAGTGCCACTCCATTGGAGAAAATGGATTTTCTCTCTCCCAGCAGTAATCAATTGCAAATACTTTCTTTGTGACCATATTCCCTTTTCTGTGCTGGGATTTCTCCTGGTTTAAACCTATACAGCTCTTGTGTACTCTGTCACAGTCTCTATGAGTTTGTATGTATAAATCTCGTGTCTGGAAGATACCGTTTGCTTGGAGTCATTTACTGTCTCAGGTTCTTACAACCTCCCAACTGCCTCTTATACATAGATACCTGAGCCTTGAGGGGAGGGCTTTGATAAGGTTGTATAAATCCTATTTACTGTCGAGTGCTCCAGGGTCTCTGTCTCCACATTGTCTCATTGTGGGTTAATCCCCATATACCGCGAGAAGATTGATCTCTGGATACAGCAATACATCATCAAGAGTAATTTCACTGCTGCTTCCTTAGCAGAATAACAGCAATAGGTTCTCCCTTAGTCCCATGAGTTTTATAGTCACAGGTTCTTGGCCTAATTAACAGTATCAGATATGGGCTCTATTCCATGGAGTAGGCCTTAAATCCAATCAAAAAATGGTTGGTTACTCCCTAACGTTTGTCCCATTATTACATTAATATAATTTGCAAACAGGCCATTATTGTAGATAGCAAGGTTCATAGGCATGTGAGATTGATGACCGCTTTTCTTTTCCAATAGTGTTTATAGTATCCTCCAGCACTATGAAACCTTGTCAGTGGGGCTAAAACTTCCAGTATGTTTAAGTGTTCAATTTATTTATGCCTAAGAATCAGATTTAGTATGGGGGATAATCAATATCATTGACAATAGCCTGTAATGTTGTATGGGGGGTAGGTTTATGGGACTCTATTGGCCAATGACTCAATACGATATAACTCATTCCTGGTACTGGGGGGTTTTACATGCTGTATGATGCCTAGTTGTGTCATTGTGTGCCCATTAGATGATAATTCCATTTAAAGTGTGTGTGTGTGTTCGCGGAAAATTCTACTATGGTAGGTTTCCATGTGACTTTTCAAAGGCCTTTATTGTTAGTTGTCCTTCCCCACGTTCCCTCCTTTCCCCTTACCTCCCACCCCCACCCCACTGACTCTTCCTATTCCAGTTTCCCCTTCTCATTTTTCATATTTCACGGTGTACTTATGTCCTGCTGAGTCAAACAGTTCTCATTAGCTCCATCTTGAGCATTTTCTCAGATGCGACTATCAATCTTGTGACCTCTCAATATCCCTTTGTTCTGTGCTATTCCTCAACAGCAACTACTGTGACCCTGGGTTTAAATGACAACTTTTTAGGAACAGGGTGCGTATGAGTGGAAGATTGTCTGAATCTGTCCTACCTTTGAGGGCTAGCGGGGGCACGGGGAAAGCAAGATCACGCTGGGCTAGACAGTCAGGAGCAATCCAAAGGATTCCTGATCTGGCATTTGACCACATGGGGTTTATGATAAATGACTCAAAGAATAAATGATGTCAACAGTTCCACTCTTAATAGCAAGAAGACAAACACTGGCAAAGGATTTAACTAGAATTTCTACTAAAAAGACATAAAAGGAACTCCAAAATCCATCTGGAAAGATACTTAATAAAATTAGCCATCAGGGAGGTGTGCATCAAAACCACAGTAAGATTCCTCTGCATGCCAAGCAATGTGGCTGTAACTGGCAGGTAGAACAAAAGAAAGTGAGGATCACACGGCCATCACACATTGCTGAGAGGAATGTAAAATCAGAGGAGAGATTGGCAATTCTTCTGATAAACATGTGTTTATAACCTAGTGTTTCTACTCTTTTTTTTTAATTTTTTTTATTTTATTTTATTTATTTTTTTTTTTTTTTT